AGTAGTAGTAGTAGTAGTAGTAGTAGTAGTAGTAGTAGTAGTAGTAGTAGTAGTAGTAGTAGTAGTAGTGGCATAGTAGTGTGCAGGTTCCGTCGTTATCAGCTTCTACAGAAGTTCCAGCGGTCTGCTTTTGACACAGGAAGTCTGCCGGTGAAGATTGCGATGTAGGATGGGCCGATGTGTCGGATTTATGGTATGATGTTGTCAGATTAACGGAGAGGATATTGAACATGAGGGCGACTAATATTGTACAAGAAAGAAATACTAGAGCTAAGCAGGCGATCAAAATGGCCCTATGCCGAAGTAGAAGCGCGGAGTTGTACGCCTCGTGCAGTGGTGGTGGTGGTGATGGTAGGGAATAGGGTCATGAAGGCTCTCTTCACGAAGGACTTCGAGCTGTACAAGTGGGTGGTCAAACAGCTGGGGCTGAGGCTCATCAGGTTTAACTATATGGCTCTGAAGGATCCATCTAAGGTAGGATGGTATCGACCTAGTGACCGATACAATGGTATATATTATTTATAAGGAATATTCTACTTCTTCTTGCGCAGCACCCCTTCGAGCAGGCGAGTTATACCCAGTATAGAGGTATAGCAGGCTCAGGCAGTAGCTGAGCCTGCAGAGAGTGTGTTACACGGCAAGGAGTTCGAACGTTATGGGATATTAATAGTATGTTTATATACAGCTATATCGATAAGAAAGGTTATAGGGAATAATTTTCTATTAATGAGGCCTAGTATAAAATGTCCTATATGTATCGCGGAGTCTATCGTTGAGTTCAGACGGTGAACGCTGTGGCTGTTGATGGTGATAAAGTGAGGTGGATGCTACAGCAGAGGCTTTGGCGGCATCGCTATAGGCCTCGCAATGTGAAACATCCCCAGACGGGGAAGTTGGTGAGGTAGTAGGTCTATATGTAAGTCTTAGGAGTAGTTGGAGTGTGTTATAAGGTACACTCGTCATCTCGTGAAGCCGCCACCGGCCAACTTTGGGAAGCCCGTGCCGGTACTACAACCTCGTTACGGATCCTCGGAGGACCATTCGCATGCTCTTACGAATGTTACGTTGTAGAATGTGGTGGTCTCCATCAGGTAAGGCAGCAGATCAGCAAGCGTTGGCCCTATGGGGTAACTCCGGAGAGGGTCAGTGGAACTTATACGGTGAGTAGATGTGAGCAGGCTCAGCTGGGAGGTCCTTACTAGGTGTACAACCCTACAGCGCCGGGCAGAGGCTTCGGTCAGCCATCTACTTCTGGGAGATGGACCGGTCGAGAGCGTCGGTGATGAGGGGCATCACGAACTGCATGAGAAAGTCGTTTCTGAGCCTTTGGGCTGGATAGCGTTTTCGCGGAAGGACGGAAATGTATTTGGTCGTGAAGTTGTGTTTTTGGACTTTGTGTTTTCCTCTTTAATCGTGATCAATGGCAAACGGTGGTGGTAGCAGTAGTGATAATAAGAAGGTCTTGCATGCGGCTGACGAGGCAGAGAGAGCGGCCAAGGAGAGGAGGCGTGTTATGGAGGAGAAGAAGCGGAAGTTGGCAGCGGAGAAGGAATTGGTAATGGTCAGTGTTGGAATATGTGTTTTGTTCCCTCAGCCGAGCTCAGGAGTTTCCTCACTGATTATGGAAGTTTACACACGAATTCTGGTAAAGGCGGACGAAAACCAACGAGAAACTGCAGAAATTTCCTCAAATTTTCCATTTTGTCACTAACACATGTGATCGACTATGTGCATATTTTTCCACACTGGTGATGGTACGGTAGATGATAGGAGGAGATGCTTCCCGTGTTTAGTCTGAGGAGGATCAGCAGTTGAAGACTCTTCTCGAGAAGCAGGTTGAGACTATCACTGGAGGGTAGGTTGGGTGGTAGGTGTGTATAGTGGACTGTGTAGTGGGGTCAGGACTGGTGATGTTGAAGAGGCAATTCAGGCGATTGGAGAGGAGATGAGGTCGGCGGCTAGCAGGTGAGCTGAGCTATCAAGGGATGGGTGGGTGATGGTAGTTGTTCCATGGGGTAGTATGACGTCTGTTCCGAAGCCGTTGAAGTTCTTGAGGGCTCACTTCACTGCTCTTGCAGCAGCTTATGAAAACATGCCCGATAGTGGGGTTAGGAAGGAGCTTGCGGATGTGCTTGCAGTAGGTTGGGATTGAACCTGGGTCGCGCGATGGCTAGTCGAAGGCGGTAACCTACTGGTCTATATGTGTAGGTTCTCTCCACAACGATACCTTTGGAGAAGTCTCGAGAGAAGCAGGCGAAAGGTGGCGATGAGAAGACAGAGGAAGGCACCGCTGTCTCCGAGGAAGCCCCTAAGGATGTCGAAGGGGGTAGTGGTAGCAGTGGTGTCGGTAAAGATGCACAGCACTCTACCATTGGGCATGTCAAGAAGGGCGCTAGTCTGCACTATCGGTTGGCTGGTACCAATGAGGACATCACCAAGTGGGGCATGGAGTTCATGAAGTAGGGCAGTCGGCCGGCCTTAGCCTTGAGGTTGTTGGTGTATCAGGACCATCTCGGGTGAGATCTCCACCGAATATCAGAGTCGTATAAGTGAGGGTAAGGACGTGACGGAGCTCATCAGGTTGGTGGACCAAATAGTAATGCCATTACGTATAGGTGCTGCTGCTGCTGCCCACTACCTCTCTATAGGTTCCTTATAACATGAGCCACAGTGCTGAGACGGAGGCGGTAGACCTTCTCGCGGAGACCGACGGAATCGACAAACTCCCCAAGGTAGGGGTATTGACGCAGGTCTGGGATCGTTTGGAAGTCTGGTGGTTTGGTCAGTTGGTGGACAGTGTGACGGCCCCGAGAGTATGCCAGTATCTGGTCGGTCTGGCGCACTTTGCCGCCAACACGGAGGAGAGGCGGGTGCTGCTCAATGTGACCTATCAAATATTCACACAAATGAAGGACCTCCCCAGCGCTCTTATGTGAGAAGTGTTAGGCTGTCCTCGAGGGCGATGTCGTCTTTAGAATCGCGATGAGGATGAACAACTTCGGCAGAGTTCGTGAAACTATGAAGGCTGCCATTGCTGTGAAGGAGGACAGGTACTTCGCCCCCTTCCCCTCCTCGCATGTCTCTACTACTGTGTCAGGTCTATTGCTCGACAGATGTGTTACATCTACGCCCGGTCCTCAGGAAGGGCCAGTGGTGGTGCCCTACAGGCCGCTGAGGAGCTAGGCCTCGACGAGGATGAGGACGCTGACTTGGTAGTCTGAGAGTAGAGTAGTAGTAGGAGGGGGTGCTTTTCCGTTCAGATATCTATCCTGTCTAATGAGAGCCTCTCTACCACTTATCACAACCTCGCCAAGGATCTCGATGTTGTTGAAGGTAGCAACATTGGCCTTTCCTGTGCTTGTCGGCATATAGTAGTAGTAGTAGTAGTAGACTAGTATAGGGGATCAGCAGTCCCCTATATACCGTTGACTCGGAGATCAGCAGCATCGTCCTTTGTACATTGTGTTATTGGTATTGTTACTCTCAGCCAAGGCTCCAGAAGACGTCTATAAGACCCATCTGGAGGAGCGAGGGAGGAACCCTGCGGCTTCGGTAAGCGCCGTGCCTCATCATCATACTCCTACTACTACTGCTGCCGGGCTTCTTATAGGTGATAGATTCGGCCAAGCAGAACTTGGCGTCGACATACGTCAACGCGCTTGTCAATGTGGGCTTTGGTACGGATAAAATGATGACTGTGGAAGGCAGCCAGTGGTTATATAAGAATAAGGATAGAGGTGATAATGGGGAGGAGAAAGTGTTCAATGAAAAGTTGCTTCGCTCCGCCGTGTTTAGGTATGCTGGCTGCGGCAGCATCATTGGGTTCTATCATGCTCTGGGATGTGGATGAGGGTCTTGCTCAAATCGATAAGTAGGAGCTGCTGGGATTCGAACCTGTGCGGGTTGAGTCCTCATGGCAGGTATCAGTGGTCAGAGAACATCAACGTGAAGGCCGGCGCCATGCTAGGCTTCGGTCTGGCCTCTACGGGTGTTACTTCCGATGTCGACCCCGCCTGGGCCCTCCTGGCCGAGCAGCTGGACAGCAACGAGCCTCTGGTCAAAATGGTAGGTCAACCCCTCCGCGTGTTACTATAGGAGGTTCTCACTCAGGCGGCAGTGATGGGGCTTGGCTTTGCCTATTCTGGCTCCCGCAGAGAGGACCTCGCTGAGAATCTCACTCCCATTGTTGTCGATACGGACGCTGGCTCACTCGCTCTTTCTGCATTGGCGTCGGTCTCTCTGGCACTGGTCTTCGTCGGTACGGGTAACACCGATATCAAAGATATCATCATGGCCACTATTCAGGAGAGGCAGGAGGTCGGTCTAGGAGGGGTGAGGACAGGTTCTTAGAACAGCGCTTGGATTCAGTTACCGACATTTTCGGCGGAGTCGGACGTATTCGTGTGCTTCTTTGCGGTGGCATTGGGCATCCTCTACCTACAGTGCGGGTCTGTGCTACCAGGTGAGATCCACTTCTCTGGGGGGTTGATCAGGCAGCGTGTCCCGTTCAGCTGAGGGCGGAGACAAGGGGATGCCTGACCGCAGTCCTGTAGAGGACCTTCTAGAGGAGATAGGAAACAGCGTTAAGGAGGAGAAACTCCGTAAGCAGCGTCGTTGGAGCATCTGGTCGGGTCTAAGGGTTGATCAGGCAATCTCTGTACTGTTGTTGTGAAGTCCTGTGGGTATGCTGGCAGTGGCGATGTGCTGAGGATTCAGGTAGGCGGTCTGTATGGGGAGTAAAGTGGAGGATTTACGGTATCATAGGAGCTCATGCACTTACTGGCGGAGACGCCCAACATCACTCCTGCCAAGCAGGGAGAGGAGAGTAATGCTGAAGACAGCTCAGCTGCGGCAGAGGACGATGAGGACGTTGGAGGTAGGCTGTGATGGGGAAGTTCGCGATGTAGTGGTATGTGTCAGACGACGCGAAGTCTTCTGCCGAGCGTGCAGCCCGGTACTACCAAGTAGCTGGTGTGCTCGGCATTGGTCTGGTTGCCTTGGGGGAGGAGATCGGCACTGAGATGACCGTTCGAGCAATGGATAATATACTACAGTACTAGCCTTGGTGGTGTGGAGCGTTGGGGTTGTCATTATTTGTTAGGTACTGTCCTCCTACTATTAAGAGAGGGGTCCCTCTTACCTTGGCCATGCTGTTCGCAAGCAATCCCAAGTAAGTCCACATCGACTTGGGAGGATATGTGTTTTCATTTGACTGTAGGTACACCATTATTGACACTCTCTCGAGGCTGTCCCATGACGCTGACAATGAGGTGGCGGAGTGTGCTATACTCAGCATGGGTAAGCTGATTCTAGGCTGCTAGTTTCGGATGTGGTGTCTTAGGTATCGTTGGAGCTGGTACGAACAACTCTCGTCTGGCCGGTCTTCTTCGCCAGCTCGCTGCCTACTATGCTAACAGTCCCAATGCACTCTATGCCACGAGGATCGCCCAGGGGATGCTGTAATGTATCATGACGAGGTTGCGGTATGTGTTGGCCTGTCAGATATTGTGGCAAGGGGTTGGTCTCCTTGAGTCCACTCCACAGTGATCGTTATCTCATTAACCCTACTTACCTCGCTTCCATGTTGGTGGTCCTCTTCGCTGGTGCTCTCAACATCGACACGACACTCTTCGGCTCACAGTATCACTTCATGCTGTACTATCTCGTACCCTGCATGTAAGGCATCTCTCCCCAACTGTTGGGGTCATTTCCTCCTATCAGATACCCTCGTATGGTGGTCACTCTACTGGACAAGGAAGATGGCAGTGAGCCTGAGCCCATCAGCGTGCCGGTGAGTATCGGTTCGAGGGCTCTTCGGTTTCCTCATCCTCCGCCCCGTTAGGTTCGTGTGGGACAAGCTGTGGATACCACTGGTATTGCGGGTAAGCAGGCGAAGGCCATTACCGGTTTCCAAACCCACACTACTCCGGTAAGCGATCGTATGGTTGTGATAACACTGAGGGGGCTGATGTTAGGTATTGCTATCATGCACTGATCGCGCTGAACTAGCGACTGAGGAGTATATTCCTGTTACTAAAGTTATTGAAGGATTCGTTATCATCAGAAAGAATAAGGACTTCAAACCAGAGGAGTTGGAAGGATCACGAAAATGATTCGGAGAGGATTAGTGTGTGCTGTTAAAAACACTGGTTTCATACATTCAAGGAATTGTGTAGACATCCTCATAGTCATGGACACCAAGTCTCGTTCAGTCTGATAGTACGATGACAATCGTGATGAGATCAATCAAGATTATAGTAACAAATTGACCAGAAACCAACACACGATCGAAATAGAAATCACCAACGGCAAAAGAGATTTGTGATTTAAAATGAGAACCAATTTTATATTCAGTGAACCTCACA